ATTAAGGGCTAGAGTTATCCATATTGGACAGCCTATGCACGAGAAGTTTCCCACTAATGTTATAAGAAATCAAAAATACAATGTTGTTACTTTCTTGCCTTTGGTACGTTCTCTTCTCGGCAGAAATGATCTTAGTATTTTTTCGAATGGTTTGAAACTGTGCTATTAATAATATCCATCTTTGTTTTACAGGTCCTCTTTCAACAATTCAAATTCTTTTTGAATTTATACTTTCTGCTTATGGCTATATCTCAATTTATACCAGACATAAGAATAGGATATTTGTACACGTATTGGGGGCCATTGTGCTTTGTTTTAACTGTGACAATTTGCCGCGAAGCCGTCGATGATTTTAGAAGATACAAGAGGGACAAGGAGGTCAATGCACAAAAATATTATAGACTAGTGAAAGGTTTTGATACACCAGAATTAGTACCAAGTTCCAAATTACGCGTGGGTGACTTGGTAAGTCATATTACAGTCTTAGTCTAGTAGTAATTATTTTTGTAACTTTCTACTCTCTTATATAACAAAGTTTTGATACACAAGTTTAATTCTTATGCTTTTCTCTGACAATTATTATCAGGTTATAGTAGAAAAAGGTCAAAGAGTACCAGCCGATTTAGTATTATTACGCACAACCGAAAAATCTGGTGCGTGTTTTGTGCGAACCGATCAGTTGGATGGAGAAACGGATTGGAAATTAAGATTAGCAGTGCCTGCAACGCAAAAATTGGAAAACAATTCTCAGTTGTTTGATATCAAAGCCAGTTTGTATGTCGAGAAACCTCAGAAAGATATACATAGCTTCATTGGCACCTTTTCAAGGGTAAAAAATTTAATTTTCTTATTTTTTATTTAAGATCTTCTCGTTTTCTCTATGTAATTATCTTTTATTTCCAGTATGATGGATACAGCAGTGAAGAAAGTTTGGGAGTGGACAACACATTATGGGCCAACACAGCAGTGGCGTCTGGTTCTGCCCTTGGTATTGTCGTTTATACCGGTCAGGAAACGCGATCTCTGATGAATCATTCAGAAATTCGTTCGAAAGTTGGTTTGCTTGATCAAGAAATCAATCAATTAACGAAGGTATTATACATATAGAAATTATACATTAAAATTGATATGTGCGTAGATAGATATTTTTATATTTTACTGTATTTCGGCAGGTACTGTTTTGTGCAGTAATAGGACTTGCGCTTGTAATGATGTGTTTGAAAGGATTCAGTGGACCATGGTATCGTTACATGTTCCGTTTCGTCCTGCTGTTTTCCTACATCATACCAATCAGCTTGAGAGTAAATCTGGACATGGGCAAAGCGTTTTACGCATGGTGCATACAAAGGGATAAGGATATTGCCGGTACGGTTGTACGGACAACTACTATTCCGGAAGAACTCGGACGTATATCGTATTTGCTGAGCGACAAGACTGGCACGTTGACGCAGAATAAAATGGTGTTCAAGAAGTTACATCTGGGCACTATATCTTACGGCCAGGAGACGTTCGATGAAGTAACGTCAGTATTAAAGACCTATTACCCTACCGACACGGAACACTCACCGGTGAAGCCGGCGACATCCGCGCACAGTGGGAAAGTCCGAAGATCCGAGAATACCCGGATCTACGATGCCGTGCATGCTCTAGCTCTGTGCCACAACGTAACTCCGGTATACGATGAGGTAAACAAATCTTCGAATCTGGATTCGGTAAGCGTGCAAACTGTGGAAACTGGAGATACTGGTTCCATCCAAAGGTAATTTCTCATTAATCGAAAAGCGGGGAAATTCTTAATATTATATTGAAATTTTAACATTTCAGTCAAACAGAGGCGGATCAACATTACTATCTGCCAGAACAGAAGCGTAATTACCAAGCCTCGAGCCCGGATGAAGTGGCTCTGGTGAAATGGACGGAGGAAATGGGACTGGCTCTGGTCAAGCGGGACCTAAATTCGATGCAGCTGAAGACTCTGAACGGTCAAATATTGAATTATACTATACTCCAAATATTCCCTTTTACCTCGGAAACCAAGCGAATGGGAATAATCGTGAGAGAGGAGTCCAGTTCTGAGATCATATTCTATTTGAAAGGTGCTGATGTTGTAATGTCTGGCATTGTGCAATATAATGATTGGCTGGATGAGGTGTGCGAAAACATGGCACGTGAAGGTCTCAGAACATTGGTTGTGGCAAAGAAAAATTTGACGGAAGATCAGTACCTCGATTTTGAAGCAAGGTAATGTATCATTGAAAGTATTACTCTTTTACTTAATATTAAATATATGACTGAATTATATTATATGTTTTATAGATACAACGCGGCGAGAATGAGCGTCAGCGACCGTGTATCGAGAGTCGCTGCGGTAGTGGAAAGTCTCGAGAGAGAAATGGAACTGTTATGCGTCACCGGTGTTGAAGATAGGTTGCAAGACAGGGTGAGGCCTACGCTGGAACTCTTGAGAAATGCCGGAATCAAGATATGGATGTTGACTGGTGACAAATTGGAGACCGCTACTTGTATAGCGAAATCCTCCCGTCTTGTGTCACGCACTCAAGGCCTGCACGTCTTCAAGTCTGTCGTGACGCGCACTGACGCTCACTTGGAACTGAATACGTTTCGCAAGAAGCAAGATTGTGCCTTAGTTATCAGCGGCGATTCCCTAGAGGTGTGCTTACAGTATTACGAGCAAGAATTTCTGGAACTCGCTTGCGGCTCACCCGCTGTCGTTTGCTGCCGATGCTCTCCCACGCAAAAAGCCGAAGTTGTTAGTCTCATACAAAGACATACCGGCAAGAGAACGGCGGCCGGTGGCGACGGCGGTAATGACGTTTCCATGATACAAGCCGCAGACGCTGGTATTTGTCTAATTTTTTAGATTAATTATATTTCTCCCAATTCTTTTATTATAGTTTGTATTTTCTTATAGGAATCGGTCTCGAAGGTCTTGAGGGAAGACAAGCATCGCTAGCTGCTGATTTTTCAATTTCTCAGTTTAGCCATCTCGCTAATTTACTATTAGTTCACGGCAGAAGAAGTTATAAACGATCAGCTGCATTGAGTCAATTCGTTATACACCGTGGTTTGATAATCTCGACTATGCAGGCTGTGTTCTCTGCAGTCTTTTATTTGTCTTCGGTTGCCTTATATCAAGGTTTTCTTATGGTAGGGTATGTATCTCAGGTATACTCATTAAAAATTAAATTTAAAACTTGCTGTAAGTCTAAGGGCCAGTTCGACCAATTTTGATTCATTTTAACCGATAATTAATCATCGATCTTTTCTAAGATTATAACTCTCATATTCAAGTAATAAAAAATTAATAATTTCATTTATAATAACACTGTAAAATAAATTAGATGCTATAATCAATCAAATGTATCTATTTATCACGTTATATATAATATCGGATCTACATCAATTATTGATACTCTTGGCTGTCGCGACTATTGTTGCAACTTTAAAAAAACGAGTTTATGACTGTATTGTAAAATAATAGACGCACCACGCAGTCATGTAGAGACAGTTAAGAACTGTACACAGTTAAGTCTTGCTGTTGGGAACACTGTTGATCAAGTTAATCGTTGATTAAAGTTGATCAAAGTTAATCGAAGTTGATCAAAGTGGTTCTCATAACAAAACTTATAAATCTTAATATATTAACTTTATCATGTATATAAAAATTTTTAGATACGCTACAATATACACAATGTTTCCCGTCTTTTCATTGGTATTAGACAAAGATGTATCAGGAAAGATAGCGCTTACTTATCCGGAACTTTATAAAGAACTTAGTAAAGGCCGTTCGTTATCATATAAAACTTTTTTTATGTGGGTTTTGATAAGTATATATCAAGGTATGTATAGTTTTTATTAAATTTAGATAGTATATGTGCAATATACACAAAAAGAGAAAAAAATATTTTTTACGTTGTAATATTCCAGGAGGGGTAATCATGTATGGCGCACTTATAATGTTCGAGGATGAATTTATTCATATAGTGGCCATAAGTTTTTCAGCGCTAGTTTTGACAGAATTAATAATGGTTGCTTTAACAATTAGAACCTGGCATCATATAATGATGCTTGCAGAAATCTTCTCTCTAGCGCTCTATTTATTATCGTTGGTCGTTCTGAAAGATTACTTTGGTAAGTTTATAACATTTTACAACAAAGATAATTAAGCAAAAATGCACGTCGTTAATATACATTGTTTCTCTTATTATTTTAATATAGATGCCGAATTTATTAAAACAACGGACTTCTTATGGAAGGTATTGGTGATAACACTGGTCTCGTGCATGCCGCTGTACATCCTGAAATTTTTGAGAAAGAAGTTTTCACCTCCCAGTTACACTAAATTATCCTAAAATCTTATGCAGAAATTAATTTGTCTGCATATGGATGACAAAGGAGGATAAACGTTAAACATAATTTGTTAATACAAGCAAGAGCTGTATAAAAATTTTCTTTCATTCTACAATATCCCTAATCCAATCCAATTAATATAATTTTTAATGAAATAAAAAAAGATATCTCATATGCACCATTTTATAACAACCAACTATTTTTGTAACTATCAATTTTTACGACATTAGTCCTAAAATGGACTAATATAACAGGAAATATAATCGCAAAAAAATAAAAACCATCAGTTTCCAAATTTCTTGTATTGTATATGTATACTGACTTCAAGAAAATATGGATTGGATTAAACTTGTTATAAGCGAATCAACTTCACGCATAATGTTAATTCTTCCTGCAAGCTTACTTACTCTGCATCTTAGCTTTAGATTAAATACATGACTTTTTTATACTTGATTTTCTTTATATATTTCTTTTGTTTGTATATTAATTTATTTCTGAATGCATTGCCAAAGGTCGCATCTTCCATTTCAGTGTGTTCACACACACATACATCGCGACATTTATATATCTGCTCTAAATATCATTCATTTTCGAAATATTAATTAGATACGTTCTCTAATCAAGCATAACATGTATCTAAATCTTTGAGTATTCGCATGGATCACTACAAATAATCTTAATTTGTATAACAATAACTAGATGCATTTGACTTAAAGAAATGACTAGAATTAAACAATTAAAGTATAGAATTTGAGTATCAGAAATAAAACTGTGATTTTTGCGAACTAAACTTAACCGGCATTTTTTGCACTGATGTTATTATATTATATAAGAAGCTTTATTCTCTCTGAAACTATTCGAAAAACATTTCTTTTTAATCTTATCCCTTCAGAATATTTCTATATGGGGGATATCTTTTGTTATCATTTATATTCCCAGCACGTAAATAAATAATAATACTAGATTACATAATGTTTTATATTCATGTATATATTACAAGCATGTAGAACATAACTGTAATCGTTGTTATCTCTAATGTAAAATGTACCGCAAGTAATATAGTTATTCTTAGAGGACTATTATTTGCTATGTAATGCGTTTATAATTAATTTATTCACAAATAAAATAATATATTCCTTTTCCTGTGATATTTGCATTGTTTATACGATTTTCACATACCTATTTTATCAAGGTATCTTATAGGGCTTATACATAAAAGTTCTATTTTTTTTTTCTAGGAAAATATTTTATTTTTAATTTTATCGGATAACTACATTAAGTTTAGCGGTTGCCGCTTTTGCTATTTGATCATGAATTTTATTGACTACCTTTTGAATCAACGTGCGCTCCATATGTCTATACACTATACTGTAACAATGAGATGTTTTTTTAGTATTTGGATGTATGAATTCGTCCTTCAATGAAATCTGCTCAATGATATCACCACCTATTTCTCTAACTATATCGTAAAAATCATGAGAAGAATAACTTCCGTCTTCTGGTAACCAGAAACTTATGTCGTTGATACAAGGTGGATATATACTGATGGGCTAAAAAATTACATTTATGTCAATTTTTTATAAATTGTAACTAAATTAACAAAATGTACAGAGATATGACAACATTCGAAATAGTTCTTCAATGTTTATCTCACCTTGTATTGTATATGTGCATTAGGATTGTCTACTTTAAATTGATTTAGGAAACCCGCATCGTTGCTCCAGAATAATCTTATGTCTGGAATATTATAAAGTCGCATGGCCAAACGCTCCAAGCCAAGACCGAACGCCCATCCGATGCGATCCATGGCACCAGATTTCTGTAGAATTTCCTGACGCATAATGCCGCAGCCTAGTATTTCAAGCCAATTGTCGTTGTGTAATATTTCTAGCTCCCACGATGGGTGAGTGAATGGGAAATATTGGTCGACCCATCGGCACTGCACATCTAACAAGAAATGTATTCAAATTAATTTCAAGTCATTTTAATCCGTAACACAGGAACATATATTTTTTATGACGTTAAAGGGATATGTGGATCCTTGGAACTTACTAAGTTTCTCTCTCTCTCTCTCTTTGTTATAAGGTTTTATTTTCTTTAAGAAAATTTTTCAAGTTTAATTATATATTCTCAATTTATGATATAAAGCTGTTTGAAAAACACAAATAAAATATTGATAGAATTGATTGCTTCTAAATTTTGTTAGATATAAATACGCGTTAAAGATTTTTTTCGGAAAACACTATTTTTTAAATTATTTTTAGAGTCATCAGGGTCCATATGTTCCAATTATGAGTTAATGAAGAAAAACTGACGAGTTAATCTCGCTTAAAAATTAAAAACGTACTTAAAATTGAAAATATTAAAGAGAAGCAATACCTTTCCCAAAGATAGCTTGTGCTAGACTAGTAAGAGTACTTTTCAGTTCCTGCTCCATCACTTTCACCGCTTCCAAGCTATGACAGGCCTGCTTGTCAGCATTTTCTATCCCTCTGTGCTCGAACAACTTAAGATTTTCAGAATCGTTCACGTTGCGAAATATCTCTTGCGATGTACGCAATCTGACTGCGTCAACCTGGTGAAAAATCGAGTAGTGCGTTCTGTCAATTTCGTCACGTCGATACACGTCGCCGATGACGAGAAAATTATTCAATCCCATCGAGATCAGCTCAGCCTGATGCGCGGTGGTGTGTGCTCTCAGCAACGTATCTTGATTAATAAAGTAACAATCAGTTTTCTTTCTACTTGGATGATCCTTTGGTACAAGAAGGGAATCAAAGTTTTGCTCGACTGTGACTATAGGACATATATTGTCGTAGACACTAAACGACGGAGTTCCGCTTTTACTGCGGAACTGTCCATAAAAGTAATTCACGATGCGTTGACGTAAATGCGAGAGTGGATGGTTTTGCTGAACGTGCAGATTTCTTCCCAATTTAGCGATAACGTTTGGCATGACATTCGTCCAATCGTCTGTTGCATATTTCTGGCCCAAGAGCATCAGCTCGTTACTCTTATCGACATTGGCAGCCACTGAAACTCTTCTAAAGGCTGTTTTAACATTGTTTATCAATGTTCCTTTGCAGAAACAACATGTGATACACCTGTAAAAAATGTACTTTAAGCAGGGATTGACATCAATCATCTTGTTCAAGTTGAAATATGCTTAGATATATTTGCATACCACATTATATTAAATGTTAATTAATTTTCTCTTATTTATAAGAAAGTGCGTTGCGAATATTGATTCACATTCACTTCAAAGTTGCCTCAATATCTTCGAACATGTGCATCTTGTATAAACTGTAAAAAATAGAGACTCTCATTACATTTACATACTTTTGTACTTATTCACACTGTATAGATAAGACTATTTTGAAATACTATTGCAAATACTGATTCATATTGATTTCAAAGTTCTTTGTATAAATCTTCAACATTTGCATCTTGCACAAATTAAAAATAGATGTTTATTTTTACATACGTTTGCATTTAGTAACACCATGTATAAGACTATTTTAAAATGTTTTATAATATAGGCAGATTAAACTGTGTGCAACATTTGTTTATTTTATTCGCCTAAAAGCAAGGAGTGCTTTAATTCACATGAAAGTTATTAATTATTTAATATACTTGTGCAAATAAATATCCGGAGGTTATGTAACAAAACATACATTTTTTTATCAGAATTGATAAATTCGACAGACATCGAATGTACAATTTATAATAAATACCAGTGGTATTATCATAATTTGCGGTTCGCACAAGTCCACTTATACACATGGAATCATAATGAGTAACCTCGAAACGCCATCAAACCACCGATACCCGATACTCCACAATTCTACATAACCTGACATAACCACATAACCATAGATTTGTCGCGTCGCGCAAGCTCCAACATGCTCCAACATGCTCCTACCGTAGCTCCTACTCACTCTATCAAGCGCGTTGGAGTGAGTAAGAGCTATAGTAGGAGCATATTGGAACATGTTGGAACATGCGAACAACACGAACAAACCCCATGTGTTATGTGTCTGAACGATCTGAACCCGGATCGTCACAGTAGAGTCCAATTTAGCTGCATTAAAATTGTAGAGGATTTCTAGTTTTTAAAAATAATGGGCCCTACTCGAAATGCAATTCTGAGCCTTTATCGGAATTTGATTCAGGAGAGCAAAAAATGGAACTCGTACAATTACAGGTGATATAATATTATAAGACGATCTTTATATTGTAAACACTCAAATGAATATCTATTTCGTTTTCCTTTATATACTTTTTTTGAAAAGATACTACTTAGGATTTTGTCTCCACGAATTCTTATAGCAATACATTAATAGAGATTTTATTCTGTATATATATTTATATTAGAAATAGTGTGTGTATAATTTTTTCATTTTACATATGATTATAATCTGTGAATTATCTAATTGTGGTTATGTGCTTTTTATGGCAGAGAGTGACAAAGAGTGTATAGCGTATGTAAAAAATAATCCTTTTATACTTTCCAGAATGTACGCTTTGCGAAAAATACGACACGAATTCAAAGAGAATAAAACGTTGACAGATGAAGAAAAGGTTAGGCAATGTTATACAAAAGGACTGGAAACATTGTCGATGATCAAGAAACAGGTCGTTTTGGGCGATCTCTACAGTACTAGGCCCTTAATTATTGAAACTAAAAGCAAACTAAATACAACGCAGTAAAATAGAATACAATTGCAATTATTTAATTTAATGTTGCATCGTACATCTGCTTTTATCTATCATTTTTAATATTACAAAACAAGCTAAGAGATCAAGGAGATACAATATAGTCATCGAGTGACATCTATCAAAAACATAATTAAAAACTGTGATTATTTGATTATTTCTTCATATATCTTCAATATAAAAAATTCAGTAATTCCTGCGCAGCGAAGATATTTCATTTACATATATATTTTGAAGTATTTTTGTATTTATGTGTGTTGTATATACGATTAGATATTGTAAATGCTTTTCAAATTGTTAAAAAATAAAATTTTGTTAATGTTGTAACATTGTAGATTTTACAATTAATACATCAGTTATATATTACAAATATAATACATTAAATATAGAGAAAGAATTTAAATCTGTCAAAGAAATAAAAAGATATTTCAGTTAATTGTATTATTTTGTATCATTTCTGAAATTATAAGTACTTGATCTATTATGATACTTGTCGATTTTTCAAAATTTTTATCAGTTAAAAAATATCAAATAATTTATCATAGTAGATAAAATAGATTGTGAATTTACCGAATGCCTGTATTAAACTTTAATTATCTACATTAATAACTATATAAATTTAAAAAATCGACGAAGTATCAAGAGAATATTAATTATCAGATAGAAGGAATAGGAAGTTGCATAAAAAAATGTTAAAGCTCAACTTCGAAAAATTGATAAAATATGAGCAAAATACAATTAAATAAGAAATAGTTTAAATAACACTCTCTCTCTCTCTCTCTCTCTCTCTCTCTCCAAACACCTATTTAAATTTAAAAAAGCAGATCCCTCTTTAGTTATTTTTTATTTTTTATTTATCAATATTATACAAAATTATAATCTGAAAATAGCGTAAATTAATTGTTAATTTCTAAAACTCAATGACAAAAATAATTTTGTAACTTTTGAATATCAATGTTATAAATACTGTGTGCCTTCCAACAAGCGACACAAATAACACGATGTGACACAATGGATCATTACATCCTTGTTGTTTGCCAATGTTAAACAAAGATGATATGATCACTGTGTCGCTTGTTGGAAGGCACACACTATAAGCTAGTAAAGATATATAAAGATATATAAAGATATATAAAGATATATAAAGATATATAAAGATATATAAAGATATTAAAGATATATAAAGATGATGAGAAAAGCAGCAAAGGCTGAACACTCCGTCTCCGAGCAGGCTTGGTGATCAGCTGTTTCAAGATGACAGCTGATCCGGTGCGCGGTGCGTAGTACAGCGCGATGGAATGATTACGAGATATATCGTGTAGTGATAAGGAAAGATAACAGCTCGAAAATGGCCACAAGAAACTTAACTGAGCCCTTCGTTTTGATGCGAAACAATGCTATGCAGAGTAGGCACATTTACGCTGAACAGGTGCGCGTACTTAACCTATTCCAATATGAAATTGCTTTTATCTTTATTCTTATAATACTCATAACGTGATTTTTCAGAATCTTACTGATATCGTGGCACTGGTGGAATCAGATTCCGGTGAATCCGACAATGTCGAACTAAAGGGTGTGGATAGTGATGCACCGCCCGCCTGGGCAGATGCCTTGGAAGAAACACAATATATCCTGAGCAGATTACGGGTGAAGATAGATAGTCTGGTTGAGCTGCACTCTAAACAGCTCACCAGGCCTACCCTGGACGATACGTCTCAGGTTCGCAAATTCTTCATGCTGCAATTCGGTTTCTTAAGCTATCAAGATTCAAATAAACTATTCTATCTTGTCCCCTTGTGCAAAAGAAGAATGCATTGGCTAAGTGAAATGTTTACAGTTCATAACAATTGTAATGCTAGAATTTAAAATATATTTTATGTTACTGTATAGGAGGAAAGACAAATGGAACAACTGACACGAGAGATAGGACGTGCATTCTCCAATGGTTATAGACAAGTACAAACAATTAAGTCAGCTGGCAGGCACGAAATCAAACCTGCAGAACGTCGGCTAGCTAACAGTGCGGTAATGGCACTTTCGACTGCCTTACAGGAGTTAGGTCTTCGATATAGAACTGCACAGAATCATTATCTGACACGTATGTTCTTCGTAATTTAATAAAAATAAACAATTTTTAATATCCAGAAGCTATGCATTTCGCGGGTTATCTTCGTGTCCAGATCCATTATTAAAAGTCAACGTTTCGTGAACATTGCAGTTCACTTCATCAAGGCGAAAAGCAGCCTGATACTAAGCTACTCCTCCGAAGGATTGCTTTTATATACTCTGGTTAGAGCTAGGAAGTATAGGAGGAGGAAAGAATCGGTCAATTTTCGGTGACCACTCTTCCATATTCTACCTTGGCTCTATCATTATCTCTGTTTAGATTATCGGGGTGTTCTTGCATCTCTATAACTTATCTATATTTTCTTGGAAAATATGATATAGTAATGGCTATTATAGTTATTTAATTAAACAATATTTGGTGTCCTATCTTAATGTTTTGCTCAGATAATGACTGTGATATTTTAATTTAACGTCACGTTGATATTCTTTTATCTAGATTGACCATTCTCCTGGTCTTTCAATGTGTACTTGTCCATGGGAGCAAAGTATTTTATATACTTCCGCAGAACTAAGTGAGGCCTTTGGTGTTTAGAGTTTTTTATGTTCGTGAGTAATGTTCATGAAACGTTGTTATTCTAATAATGGATTTGAGATTCATTGTTATTTCCGTAGATAATCTGCGAAATGCACAGCTGTACAGAAAATACCCGTAAAAGCCTCAAAAGCAACTGTTAATATTTTTAATAAACTGTAATATTATTTATGTACATCCGATAAATCTTTGCAGAGATGAAATCAAGAGAAGAAAGGAATAACCAGTTCTTCGCAGAAGATCAATCTCTTTTAAATAATATAGCAACCGATTCTTGGGTGACAGAACTGAACGAGGCAGCTGGTGATTATTGGCCAAAAAATGAACGAAGACAGGACTCGGTTTTACTGCAGTTGGAGGAGCCGGAAGATAGGATGAAATTAGCAATGGAAAGGGAGGAACAGATTGGAAGTATAGTTCAAAGCATAGCAGACTTAAAACATATTTTTAAGGTAAATTATATGTATATAAAAATTATTATATAAATACTCATGGTAATAATTACAAGTAAAACTCTTTGATTTAGTAAATTCAAATTTTTTTATATTTATTTTGATATTAGTGCATGATAATGTAACATGAGTAGCATGCTAAAGTCTTGAACAAAAATCTGGATTTTTGTTATGTACAGGATCTTGCAGTAATGGTACAGGATCAGGGTACTATTTTAGATCGAATCGATTACAACATAGAGCAAACGCAAGTACAAGTACAAGAGGGCTATAAACAATTGAAGAAAGCCGACTCGTATCAAAAGGCCAATAAAAAACTGTATTGTATCGTGATTCTCGCGGCTACTATTATATTACTTAGCTTCTTGTTCGTCATATTTAAGACATAAAATCAACTAAATTAGAATAAAATTAAAAGTGAAAATATACTTGTTGGTATTTATCGTGTTCCATAAAATGAAATGTCGTTATAGAACTGTACATAATGATGGAAAGAACTATTTTTTAAAATAGTCCGTGCAATTTTCTTCAAGTGTTATTGTTAGGAAAAAATAATTATATTCGTAAGATTATGACGAAATGTCTGTTCGGTCCATCTGTTCATGGATTATACACAATATGATAAAAATAATAACTATGAATGTGGGATTAATCTTTTTAATCAATGTTAATCTTGCGCTCTGTATAAATTAGTTTTAAAAATAATTCCTCACAATATCGTAATCCTCATAATATCTGCAATTTTAAATGGTCAATTCGCTGTATTTTAATTCTTATAATATACAATTAAGAGTGACCGCAAAAATAACAGATTTACGCGCGCGCGCGATAGAATAATTTATTTATATATATATGTTTCACATTTAACTGTATATTTTTTACAGCGATAAATTATGTTTTTTTATTTATGTTTAATATTGTAATGCGATAAAAATGAAAAAAAATGCAGTTTGACTTTTTATATCTGTATTATAAACTGTCCTGTACATCCAATTGTTAAATGATCATTCCATAATAAAACAATGACTGAAGTTAAGTCTTGTGAACTATACTTATTT